CCCGCCGCCCGCGGGCCCCGGAGCCAGTCTGCACCGGGTGAGTGACAGCTGCACCCGCGGCCGCCGCGCCCTGCCTCGCGACGGGCCCACGCCGCCGCCCTCCCACCCTGCCACGTCCCGCCCCCGGCCCTCAGACTCCCGAGAAACGGTCTCCTTCATCCGACGGGCGGCGGACACCTCCCCCTCCGACTTGAGAGACACCCACCTTGACTGACTCACAGGACTCTCACTGGCTCTGACTCGTGCGGGACACCTGCCCTCCCCCCCCCCCGACGAGTGCGGGACACCTGCCCCCTCTGACTAGCGTGGGACATCCCCCCCTCCGACTCAGGGGACTCCTACCCGGCTCTGACTCTTTCCTCCTCTGACTTGAGGGATTCTTCCCCCTCTGACCATCGTGGGACAACTTTGGACCCTGGAGGACTCCTCCTTTTCCTGACTCACGGGGAGTCCAATCCCTTCCTGCCCCCCCCCGCCCCATGATCACCCCTTCTGTGATTGCCGCGTCTCTCCTCTCCCACTAGGGAGCCCTCCCCTCTCAGTGGGGTACTTTGTCACACCTGCAGCAGGCCAACCTCCCCAAACCCAGGCCTCACCTGCCTTCCTGTGGCAGCCAGACTGTCCACCCTCCTCCCGCTCCTCCATCTGGCCTGATCCTCTCATCCCTGGGTTGTGGCGCCTCCGGCTCCATCCCTGTTGCATGGTGCCTTCCCTCTGCCCTGTGTGTCTCCAGGCTTGGCGGGCCCCGGGACTCGCAGTCACTCTCCTGTCTGCCAGGTCCAGCCTTCTCCCAGGCACCTTAGTGTCCCCGGGAAACCACCGTCTCTTAGCACACCAGCCTCACTGGTCACTGTTGTCCTAGAGTGCATGCTTGACTGCTAGCACGTTTTCCACAAAGCGTAGGTTTGGGACCATGCGTCGGCTGATGTCAGCTGACTCTTGCTGGCTCCTCAGTGTAAGGACCAAAACTTGGCAAAAGCATAGGGTCACAGGAGAGTCCGTGAAGAGGAAGCAGGTGCTGCAGCCTCTCCTTCCTCTCCCTTTTCAGAGCTGTACGGGACAGATCTCACCCTCCCCCCGCCCGAGCTCCCAGCCCCACCCAGAGGCCACTGAGCAGGACAGTCCAACCTGGACCTGAGGGCTCAGCGGCCAGCGGCCTCCCGGGGCCCCTCCCTGACAGCCTCAATCAGCCTTCTATTCTGGCCTCCAGGGCCCCACTGAAAGATACACTGATGGGCCAGTCTTCTCCCCTCTGGACTGGGGCGGGTGTCTCACCCTGGGCGGGGTGGGCTGGGGGAGTGGGGAGGACTCCCGTGAAGCGTGCGTTTGTTCAGGCAGTGGCCTGGAGACTGAGCAGTCTCGGTGTTCTCACAGGACCTGATCGTAGAAGGCGTGTTACGCCCCAGGGCAGTGAAGAAAGTCCTAGACTTGCAAGTGTATAGGAGCCACTTTGTGTCCCCTATGATCCTCAGTCGAGGTGTCCATCTGAGCATTTGATGCCTTCTGTAGCTAAAGCCTTCTTCCCCCTAAAACTGTCCCCCGACTGTGGTTCCGGCCACACTTTCACGGCCACAGCCGGCTAGTGGATGTGTTGGTTTCAGCTGTTGGTGCAACTGTGCACCTCATCCACCCTGCTTCCTGAGCCACAGAGGTGATGCGGACAGACCCGGAGTGTGACGGGAGCAGGCCTCGCTCTGGTGGTGTGCCCCCCCATTCCCTGTGTGTGGCCTCTGAGGTGGGCTTGGGCAGGCTCACAAGTACCCAGCCCCTTTCATCTGAGTCTTAAGACCCTCTGGGCAGCTGTGTGGCATCCTCACGGCAGCCGCCTGGAGTCGCTGTGCAGATACCTGAGTGTTTCCTCTTTCAAAAACAGCATCTCAGATCTGAGACAGCGGTCCAGCATCCTGAAATGGATCAGCACCGTGACGGGGACGTCATTTCTGTATCGTGTAGACATTTGTGGAATGGTACCTGGGACACTGGAGGGAAAATTTAACAAGTGCTCTTTTCCTTTCACTGATACTGTGGACTGTGGCTTTAGGACTTTAATGTGGATTTTCCTTCTCATGAGACCAAGACAGTTATTTAGACAAAAACATCCTGATAATAGGGAAATCTGGGAAGATGTTCAGTTTTTCTTTTTGTCTATGTTTCTTTTTTTTTTTTTTTTTAAAG